TCGGATTTTCACCATAAGCGCTCCAATGCGAATGATGCAGTTTCTAGAAGGTTCTCAAAACACGGCCATTTCTGGGCGTGGCCAACAATAAGTCGTATTTCGAACCCCTATTGCGCCCAATCTGACCAGTTTTTCGACCCATGTGGCATATCTGGAGGCCAGAAATTCATCTCATCGGTATACAGAAACCACTGCTGTTGCGGACTTTACTCGGGGTTCCTACCAAGCACACAACCTCGACCAATTCAACTGCAGTAGTCTGAACGCCATGATCGTCAAACTTTTAAACACCAAATTATATTAATGTGTTTATTTACAATATTTTATGTGAAGCGGATATATGTAATTAACGAGCGAAGCACGACCCACCGGCGTATGACGAAAAGAAATCCGAGTAACAACACACACATACATCTCTTAGCAACCACAACCCGTCCAACAGCAACTGAAACTTCACGAAAACACTGCTTATCTAACAATGCTCGCAAGTTTCATTAAAACTTGCAAAAATGAAGGTTACTCCTGACTCAAGTACGGTAAGCAATTGACATTTGCGAACTCTTCAAAATAGAATTCAAATAAGGTAAGTAAACAGTCAATAATGATGACAAAAAAGGCATTCACAACAAATTATTACAAAGTAACTAATCTACAACTGTACAACCCTAATTTACTACGACATGATGATTTAGAAGGCCTGATTACAAANAAACAGGTTACTCCTGCCGATCAAAATTATTCAATTCTAGTATAAGCAAAAATATGAAAATGACTTATGGCACAATACATATCACAAGGAGCCTCTTGAAGCCGTGTCTATAGTTGGCTGCCCATATAAAACATGCATATCGATTATATACCAGCCAGTTTGCGGAATAGCTACCCGGAACAAGCTGTGAGTCGGATTTCACCATGGGGGAAAGGAGCGGACTCGGAGGGAAGGCTATTTCCGAGGTCTTTCCCTTGCATCATCCGACCCCAGGGACCTACCTCAAGGACTAGGAGCTTGGAAAGCATTCGAATCGTGGTTTTCACAAGGATCGCCTTTGGTTTCTGCTGAAATCTACCAATTGTTGCCTTATAGAAAAAATAGGGGGAAATAACCCAAAGTATCAGAAGGGGCTGTATGAGACCATGTTCAAAGGGACCTATTCAGGATGCAGCCAATGAACCGAACCGTAACCTCGCCCAATACAGAATGAGCCCTAACGCAGTGGATCGAAAACATGCAGAATTCTTGAAATCCACGTAGAAGGTGCTTCACTGAAGAGTGAAAACCACCTTCTAAAATTGATATTGCCCACAGAGAATCTCCTGAGTGCCAGAAGTCAAGGCACAGCCGTCGGTGTATTTCTGATCAAATTGTCAGGGATTCAGCTTAATGAGAGAAAACGTCTTTAAACTGGAATATCGGTATCGCTGGGTTCTGGTTCGCCATCGTATTCCATGCTTGAAGTTCGCTGGCGTCTTGCAGGAACAAAAAGTCGATCGGCACCATCTCCCTCGGAATCTGATGACGTCGACCTGACATCGCCGTCTCCACAACCAGTTGCTGTTACACCACTGCGAGATACAGAATATGACTTCCGGCTAGAATAAATCAAATTTTCAGGCAAAATGTATATTATAAAACATATTTTGAAAGGAAAGTAGCATAACAAATAGAATAATGCTTTATAGTAATCATATAAAATTCCATTTTTCTAATCGATTCAAATTAACGGTCAGAAAATAAAGTTGGCGTCGTCCCAGTTTATACTCGTAAGCGTACCTCTACTAGGAATTTCCGTAGATGGGTTTATCTGGTCTCCTGACAGACTGTTGACCAGCATTCGGTTCGACTGGCGGTCTGTCTACGGGCACGCAACATGGTGATAAGGATACCACGAGGGCAAAAGGTACCACATACAAAACCGGGAAACCAATCGGTATAGTGGTTTTGATCAAACGCTGTGTTATTACACCGATAACATCTCTTCGCACTATTTTAGACCCATTAAGCACATCTCAACTGCGCATTTCTTGCTTGGAAGGGGAAAGGGGCACACAGCATACGAATAAGATGGGCAGCAATTCGAATGTCAAAGAAATCGAAGCAGCCTTCCATTTCAGAATTTTTCGTCCAGCCCTACGCAGCCTACGTAGTGAACCACAAAAATACGGTGTAATACAAAGAGGCAATGAGAAAGTCTACTTACGAGTGTCGACAAAAGTTTTCCAACGCACCCAAGTGGTTTATGCCATACATATGAGGAAAAACCAGCTGATTAGAAACGAAGGAATAGTCAGGAATGATATCGCATCCAAAATCTTTCTTCCCATTACTGATCTATTTCAATTACTGCGACCGCCACATATCAAGGTCATATCGACACGTCCCATTGGGGGCGGGGATAGCATTGGAGGCGCTACTTTCAGAGCGTCTTTCACCGCAAAAACATATCATCTCCGTTGCTAATAATAAACTACAGAATATATACCGTTTATACACATTTGAAATGTTGCATGCAGTGCCATCGAGCAGAAATTTTGGTGTGTGCGGGATGAAAAGGATCAGCTCACCTTCAAGGTCTTTATGTCCAAAATTCATTAAACCGGGGAGGACAGAAAACTTTGAGACCTTGAAAGCTATAAATAGCGGTAGACGAAAAAAGTGTAGCAAAGGACAATGCGACTACGTGAGCGATCAGATCAGAAACTCTGAATGACCCAGTTTGAAATAAACTGGATTTTTCGAGCAAAGTTTGATTGTTTGGATCAATTGCCCGCACCCAGACGCTACTGAGCTAGTTTGCAAACTGTACCAATTGAGATTTCGGCTTCTTAGAAGTGTCTATCGCATAAGTTACAGACCTAATTCTAAAATTTGTGAGCAGTTTGTGTACACGCTTTTCTTCCCCTCCCCCGCTAAAGCACACAAGATCAAAACATGAAACCGTTTTACCTTGACGTCGGCGTGCCTCCTGATCCAACATGTCGTCTACCTTGACTTTTACCGCGAGAAATCACTCGTGACGATGACGGGAAGTGACGCACAGGTGAACAACAAGCGTCACGACGCCTAAAGTCATCCCAGTGTACTACAACGGCAAGGTCAATCGAATAAAAAATAACTGTCAAGTTCGCCAGACCACCGTATCTATTTTCAATGTTTTTGAAAAGAAATTATTTTTGACTCCACTTCACCAGCAATCGCAATATTTGAAATGAAAAGATCACAAGAGAAATTTCATCATCGCAGTAAGCATGCAAGGTAAACCACATTGAGGCTGGCCCCACACACTCAACGCACCTACCCAGAGTCAGTTTGGCCTTCGACACCTGACAGACCAGAATCAGCCTCTTCTGAATTGCGGGAACAACCAGCATCCTGCTCTGACTGCTCGAATTCTTCTGGCACCGCCTTAAAAACACTTTTATGCAGTAATACGAACAGTAGAAGTTGGTAATGCACGGAACTCACCGTGACAGTACGTGAGGTACCGTTGTCAGCATGAAGACGCGAATGGCATTCATGCCTGCGCGGATCAGCCACATTGAACAATTCGAATGAGCGTAACTGAATCAAATGAAAATATAAAAATCACGGTAATATAAAAAGGAAATAAATCTCTGAGAAAGCCTTACATGATGATTCTCATCCAAATAATGAAATTCGTACATAGCATCATGAGAATGACTGTACTCGACTACGTGCTCAAGCGAGTCTTCATTAGCCACATCATCCAGCCATATCCAGTCATTTGAAGCTGATGACACAGCCGCAACCTCGACCTGAAGGGTTACGTTAAATGTGGATATTATGCCCGAGAAATTTGATTCATATTATCCGAACCGAATAGCAAATACCTAATCCAACCCTCCGAAATTACCTGTACAAGGGTAGAATTAAGTATCCGCCCAGAATAATTGACTCAGTATCTTTCAAATTGGAAGAGCTATTTATCTAGTAAGACCTAGGAGTAGTTACATTTCCTCGACCGGGAAAGTATGGGACGGAAACATAGCGGTGTGGGAGGGAGAGGGTGTTTAGTAGATGCAGAGCGCATTGGCGGCTACTACCGCCGCTTAGTCCCAGGCAGAAAGGAGGAGAAGTGGCCAAGATATAAGTCTGAGCTCAAGAAGCCTAGCCTAACACTTTTACCCTTTGCTATTCCCTGTTTTCTGGGCAGTTCATTTGTAGTAAACCTATGAAGAAGTGCCATAATTAAACCAACCACCTTCACCTTCCTTCTCCTGTCGCTTTCCCGAATAACTTCCAATTCTCTTCGAGCGTCCTCGCTAAGTTCTATTTCAGGTTCACGACGTAGGCGAATCGAAATATCCGGAACAGGAAGCAAACATGAGAATCTGAAAAGTTTACATTTCAGAAAGGGACCAGAAGATGTCCCCCATTCGAGTCACGTGTTTTTAGCTCCATTGTCGCATTGGGAAGGGAAAAACGTGATAATTTTACAACTCAACAACTTCCAGACGTAAACACCACCCGCGTTCGCTTGATAACAGGCAGACACGCATACATCCACAGATTAAATGAAACGTGGTGCACCTCTACCAAGTACATTCGACTACATGTGGGCATGAGAAAAAAAAAGATGAGGTAGTAAGGAGAAAAGTAAAAATTAAAACTTCATGATTGAAAACTTTCATGAAGGAATTAAATTTGAACCCAATCGGAATGAAATAGCAAGTAAAATTCATATTTTCGCAAAGGACCTACCCGCTGTAACGCAGTTTCTGGTACTCTATTTCCATGAGTATAAAGTCTATCAAAGACTGTAACTTCACTCTCAGCCATTGGGGAGCCACAACAGCCGACATCCACGATGTCATGCTAAAAAAAATTAAAAATATGTCTGCGGCGTAAAATCCAGAACAGTATTCGGAAAACTCCTAATGAATAAAGATATAAAAATAAAGCAGGCAAAGTAAGACGAACAGCAGAATTTAATAAATGCCTAGAAGGAATCATGCCAGTAAAAAGTTTACAAAAGCTTAACTCACTTTTTAGTCAAAATAATGAGCATATCCCAAGGTAACTTTCCAAGGCCGAGAGCTGTACGAGCGAAACGAAACACTCGGAAAGAAAGCAAGTATTTGAAGTATGATTCTTCTGCGGCAAACGCTTCATCAAACGCTAAATGTATTCGTTAAGGTCCTGTCATAAAACAATTAAGAGACTTTTACTATTGTTATTCGTTATTGTAGTACACATTCACATACAGACACAGTAATCTCTCAAAATAAAAATCATTGTATTTGTTGGGGTCCCGGCTTAAAGCACTAGAAATACCTTTACTACTGTTATTCGTTATTGTAGTACACATTCATATACAGTATAGAACTTTACGATACCTAATGGTCAACAATCTTTCCATTTGAAAGTCTCGTGGCTCATAGTCCCTTTCAAAACGTCATTTTTAGTCTAGCTGATTTAATATTGATTTTATTTATTCATTATATGAAGCTATTAACATTTCATAAGGGTAAAAACTTACTTTTCGTAAGAAGTGATGGAAATACATCGCTTACAGCAGTATTGTACATATGTTCACTTTCACAGCATGTATCGCACTCCGATTCCATTCTCTTTCTAAAAGGCGCTTCTTACATTTTTAATAGCAATACAATCACCTGCCTATACTGACCACATCCAAATGGAAGAACGGATAATGGGCGTAGTGCACAAATGGCCAAGTACAAGACTTTATTTTACTTACTTAGACATAGTAGTTGTTCTTTTCCGAGGTCGAGGACCATTCGGTGAAAACTGGCGCTCTTCCTGAGGGATATAGACCTCACCAAGCTCTTCGTCTACATTCGTTTGGATGGTTAAACATCGTATGCATGGCGCCATTGCTAGAGAAAGAACAACATGACATACTCAAAAAAGGAGGGCAGATAATTATACTGACTATATGATAGCGCTACTAACCATTTTTTGTGAGGAATCGAAGGGCATCTTCAAATCCCTGAAGGCACATCTTTGAACAATCTTCAGTAGACGGTGGCATCAAACATGCTGTCAGTCGGAAGAGGTTACGCGTTGTAAAGCGAATGGATGTTCGAGAGAACGAGATGCCAAAGAAGCTGAAAAGGCTATTTGTCAGCGATATTTCACGTGGCCTCCCACATACTCGATAAAAAACTGTTTCTGCAAAGTTACACGTTACCACTTTCACTGAACGCTGATACTATCAGACACAGATAAGACTTAAGAGCGAAAGCTACACTCTATCGGACCGATTCGTGGATAGAAGCAATTCGAGGACATATATCCCGAATCAGGTCAAATCGCATGGCATACAAAATTCCTAACCACATTCGAAAATCATAAACATTTTGTAGTCCTACCTCGCACTGTCCCAATCAGGTGGGCATATATCGGATTCTCCTGAGAATGGGCTAACTGTGACGGTGTGATCATCGTAGGACGGTTGATTATCCGTAAAACCTCCATCGATGTAAGCTTCACCACGATATTTTGGTGGCGTCATTCCACAATAAATAGGGATGAAACAACTGCACATTATAGCCTACAATAAATGTATTATAACGACGTTCAGAAAATGAAACATGAAGCAAGTAACCGTGAGGTTGGAATAAAAGCTTACATCCATTAATTCTTCATTAGAGTTGTACTCAGTAACTACAACATTTTTATTATCTCTCCATCGTGTTAGCGAAATTTGTAGACGTCCTGTACATCTGAAACACAGAACTGATTAACCGTTTCCAACATCTGGAAACCACTCACACAGAATTCTTTCTATCGCCACTACAAGTTGGTTATGCTAATTAGTNTTTTATTATCTCTCCATCGTGTTAGCGAAATTTGTAGACGTCCTGTACATCTGGAACACAGAACTGATTAACCGTTTCCAACATCTGGAAACCACTAACACAGAATTCTTTCTATCTCCACTACAAGTTGGTTATGCTAATTAGTTCAAAGTCTTTCTATCGCCACTACAAGTTGGTTATGCTAATTAGTCAAAGTCATTATAGTAAAACAGGGAAAAATTAAAGAACTACTCTCATTTAACTGGTCTCGCCCACTTACAAAACTCTTCCTGAATGGGGTCCTGGAGCAGCGGACGTTTGCACCCATTCAGACTACACGTAAAGTTACAACGAAATATTAATGTCGATGGAGCACAAAGTTGCCACATTGAAAGGAGACAGCGCTGGTTTTGACCTTTTATGGACAAATGAAAAATCCCTAGAACATTTCCGCCCGAAACATCCCAAGTTCACCATTGAAATACCAAAAGAGTGGAGATATTTGCTGTCTGCTAGTCTTTCAAGCATAAACAGGCGACTTTCTTAACTTGATAGTAGACAAAATCGGTATTGTGATCGCTATCGTTGATAAAGCCGGTTAATACAAAAAACCCACGTTTTATAGGCATCCGCGGGTAGCATGGCTTCAAGTTGTTCACGACATACAGCAAGTAAATTGAAAGCCGGATGCAATGGACCTAGTGCACGTGAACGTGCCTGAAGTAACACAATTAAAATAACGTAAAACCACCACGACAAATTTCGAAAACAACCTGGCCACCAAATCATTACCTGTGTTACTACTCTTAATATAGTGCTAGTGGCTTGTGATATACAAATGTTAGTCATGAGACCAGCAGCAACTATGGCTCCGGCAGAGGCTCCTGATATCTTATTCTGAGTCAAATATGGTGCATACTCCTAAACGATCGCATTTCCTTCTTGAACGGAAGGACAATCAAACATTTGGAAAACCCAGAATAAAAATCACTTGATACAACTCAACACAAAAAAAGAGGAACCACAAAGGACTCACTTTAATCGCCGCTGCGACTCCAGCGTGATATATGCACAGGAACCCGCATCCAGAAAAAGATAAATTCATCCGTTCGGGAGAGCATTTGACCATAGCCATCTTGCCGTCTATAATATGATCTATTACTGCGATAAGGACGACATTAAGAAGCCGCGGAGCTGAACAGAACAATCAAACACGAATCAGGGACTAGGAAAGAGGAACATGGAACGACCAACAGAACAATGAATTTTCTTTAACTACTGCCGTGCTCATCACCAGCCGAATTTGTAATTCGTGGTGATTTCTTTCATTTATCATTTGTTCCTCAGCATTAGCATTATG